ATGTTTTGCATGCATGGAACAAGGTAGATTTTGTTTTCCCTTGACAGATCACTTGCTAAGAAAACTGTCCTTTTCCCACTGCTGTAGTGTTGTCATAAATTAGGTGTCCATTGATTTGAGGTCAGTTTCTGTCATTGTTTTCTATTTTATTGGCTCTTCTTGTCATGATATTTTAAATCCTGCCTTTTCCCAGCTGTGGTCTTTTCTCACAATTAATTTTTATACAGCCTGAAACACCTGATAAAATCTATGCCTGTTACTTTCTGTGTAAGGCGTAAGGTGAGCTCTGTAAGCTCCACTCCGACCTTGCGTGTAAAGCTGCAGAGGCCGTTCAGTGTCTCCTTTTCCATCACAGACGCCATCAGCTTTCCTTTGGGACCTTTTTTAATAAATAATACCTTTCACTTCATGGACGTACATCGATAAGCAGAAAGCGGTAAGACGCCCAGCTATATGTCAGGACAGAGCTGACAATGACGCGCTCGCCTCGAGGAACGGCCTCTGGGATAGGGTATGTGTTGTGACTTTTGCCTGGACAGAAGGAGGAAGCCTCCTGTGGGCAGAGCTCCATTCTGCTTGAGGGGTGTGAGCTGCGTCTTTTGCTAGCTACTCCTGTCACCTGTGGACATCAGACTGCAGTTTCTTCAGCCTTCCAGCCGGGACTCACACCATCAACTCCAAAGAGACTTTGCGTCCTCGATCCCTCCTGTGCTGCATCTTCCAGCTGCTTGGACTGAGCAGCTGCTCGGTCCTCACCTCAGCACGCAGGGCCGCTGTCGACCTCCTCCTCTGCTCTAAGCCTCCCTAAGGAAACCCACATAATTGCACAGTGGTGCACAGTATTCGTCATTCATCGGTTCGGGAGGTTCAACAAGTACCAAATAAATCATTTTGGCTGGAAAGGGTCAGGAGGCAGTGGACACCCATCTGTGATAGCTTGTGTGCCAAGTACCAAATGAATGGGTCCTGGGACAAAGATTTTCACATCAAAGTGCTTTGAATATGGAATTCAGTGAGTTCTACAGCAGTCGAGTACCAAGGTATGACTGTATGTGCATGTTGTCTGTTGATTTTCTTCCTCAAGAGAACCCTAACCAATACATGTTCTTGGGGTCACTTTTTTGAATATGCTGAGTTTTAGATAAATGGTACATCTGTCATCCAGGAAGTGATATTCTGTCCACGGGCAGAAATATAATTTTACAGTTCAAAGAAATGTCTAGACTGGGAAGGAAGATTAGGGCAATAATACAGACATGAATGAAACCGTGAGCGTGCTCAAAAGAGCCCAGGAAGAATAAATGAGCTTATCTGATACTGAAATGAGTTTTTGTATGAGTTAGTTCTGGGAAATCTCTCCATTTCTGATTGTTAAAACGTGATTTGGGTTAAACATGGACTCCGTGTGTTACCTGGGTGAATGTTATCCGCTCCCTTCCATCACCTGATTGATTCTACATACTGGATTCTGATCCTGTCACCCCACCTTCCTCACTACCTCCAGATTGTTCTTTCTGAAAGGATTTGGTCTTTTTCTAATTGTTACTTCTCAAAATATTGCCTATGATAATGTTTCATCAAAACATTCAAACCTGCCCAGGTTCTGCTAATCTAGAATTTATGGAGTGTGCTTAAAAGTTAGGCCCAAGGCCCTGCCCTGGACCTGAGTGACAGTGGGGCTAAGAATGTGTATTTCAGGCAGGAACCCTAGCTGATTTTGTTGCATAATGAAGTTGAAGAACCAGGCTTACAGGATCAAATCCAAACTCCTTGGCAGACCACATAAGACTCCCCTACCCAGTCCAATTTCTGTCTGCGGTGACTTGTCTGACCTTTGCTCTCTTTATACTTACACTCCAGCCATGATGAACTACTTGGAGTTTCCAGAGCATCTGCAGCATAGCCATCACATACCTCTGCCATTGTCCTGGTGTACCCTACCCACCTATCAAGACTTTGTTCAAGTATTGTTTCCTTTATTAAACCCAGCCATCCATCCTGTTTCCACCCAATTCTATCAACTGACCTGTCTGCCCGCTGTGTTTATCATTGTGCAGTACTTAGAGTTTATACTGTACTAAACTGGCTTCTGCTCAGGAGAAATTACTATGAAAATTTGTGGAAATACTGGTATTAAACAAGCAGCTAACTACAAAGTAGAGCTAATTTTGAATATAAGCCTTTTTCTTAAATATTGTCCTTGCAGAGTAGAAAATAAAAGCCTATTGAATAGATGAATCAAATCAAAGATCACATTAAAGTAGCAAGTCCATTTCTGCTTTTATTTTTTTTGGTACCGGGGCTGGAACTCTGGTCCTTGTACTTGCAAGGCAGGTGGCAGAACCACTGAGCTAAATCCCCGGCCCTCTACTTTTTATTTATATTCCCAACCACTATTAAGTCTTTTTCTAACTTTGTACCTCTTTACATAAAGCAACCGAGAAGATACACTTATGGAATAATCGTTTATATACCTGCTGCTGGAGCCAGCTCATAAGCAAAAGAGTCACAACCATCATCAGCTTACCGAGTGCTTTGCCACGAATGTATCTATGATTTCCAAACTTGATGTTTGACTCTGTGCTAAAAGATAAGAATTTTTTTTCCATAGTTAAAACTAAGAGGATTTTGTGCTTAACATGAAGGGGAGCAATAAAGAGAAATGTAATTTGCAACGTACAGTACAGGAGAGGAATTTCAGTGAATGACATCTTAATTATAGTTAGCCTTAAAATATTTTTGATTACAGTATTTTGCTTGGAATATGTATTTTATTGCAATATGTGAAATCAGTTTATTTCCAAATACAAGATGAAATTGGGTTAGCTCACTCCGTGCTGGCTTTAGGAAAGCGCTTGCTGCCTCTTTTTTTTTTGGTACCAGAGATCGAACTCGGGTCCTTGCGCTTGCGCAGTAGGTGGCAAAACCACTGATCCCCGGCCCTTGCTGCCTGTTTAATTAAACAGGTACCCTAATGGCCTGCTTTCAGTGGAGATGTTAGATATCCAAATTCATATTGTGTTCATAGCTTTCTAAATAATGAGACATGACAATTTCAGTTTTCCTTTTTTCTTCAGATCCTTATTACACAGCTTGTTATGGCTTATATCTAGACGTCCCGCCAGAGCCGCATGCACTCATAGGTGGGGCTTTGGGGAGTGGCTGGATTAGGGGTGCATGAACTGCGTCATGGGTGTGTGGTACTGGTTAGTGCACTGACTGGCTTAGCACAGTTCCGGGTGCGGGTGACAGACTTCCTGAAGAGAGAGGGCCCCAGGTGTGGGTGGCGCCGACCAATAGGCTTGCGGCCTGGATGGAATAAAAAGGGAAAAAAGGAAGAAGTTTCTCTGCTTCCTGCCTACCGTGCCACCCCGCCCTGGATCCAGCCAACTGTGGACTGAAAAGTCTAGACTCCAAATTAAAATAAACCTTTCCTCCTTAACTTGTGTGTTGGGCACTTGGTTCCCAGCAACGGGAAAGTAACTGAAATATAGCTCAAAACGTCTAGAAACCCATTCTGGCAAATGGAGAATTGCAGAACCTTTTTTAAAGATTGGGATAAGATCCACCCAATAAGCAGCCTTTGCATTTTATGCTAAATATGCAAAGTAGATGTAGTTTTAAACATAAAGTATGTTTTTGTAACAAATTTGCTGCAACCTCTTTCCTGTTATTTGTCTTCAAGGTGCATAAATCTTGTAAAGTATCCAAGTGATAAATATTTAGATTGTAAATAAGTTAACCAGTGAAAAGCAGTGATGCTCGGCTGGCTCAGGAGATGAGAGCCTGTGTTCTAACTACAACAAATCTGGGCTTTGATGAATTAATGGGGGAAGGAAATTCCAAAGATTCCAGTCATTTTACTTTTTTTTTGTACAGATAACGAGGCATATGTACTGTTACCATGATTTAATGTAATAGCATTTGTGATTTTAGAATTCATGCTAATATTTGAGAAAGAACATGTTCTTCAGCTACTGTGGATTTCTACTCAAATAGCCAAGCATGAAGTAAACAAAAAATATTCTAAATTTCTCTTTAAAATTTATTTTTCTGGAAAATGAGGACCAAAAAAGTCTTTCTTCATAAAAAAAAATTCCACAGTAGGATCAATAGCTTATTAAATATACAAATACATGTATATTTGTGATGTTTTAAAATACCGTGCCTTTTAAAATTTAGTCTACATATGTAATCTGCTCGAATATTTCCAGTATTTTCTAAAGCAAGAATGTGAAAAAGCATTTAAGTAGTTTACTGTGTTAAACATAAAACTCAGTACTTAGCTTTTCTTATTGTATTTGAAATTAGTATACAGCTACATTCTGCATGCAGCTTCTAGGCAAAAATTTTAAAATACCAACCTAGGGACACTACATAGTAAATACTGTGTAAAAAATATAATAGCGATTAGCTGAGATAACATTAGCAAGAAGGGTTTTGGGGGGTTTTTTTGGTACCAGGGATCGAACTCGGGTCCTTGCGCTTGCTAGGCAAGCGACGGAACCACTGAGCTAAATCCCCGGCCCGATCAAGAAGGGTTTTTCAATTAAAATTCCATAGGTACACTTTCATTTGTTTCATGGTTTTGTCTTGTTTTGTTTTCTTAGTACAGAAGATCAAACTCAGGACCTTGTGTTTGCCAGGCAGGCCGTGTGCCACTGAGCTACATTCCCGGTAACTTTCATTTGTTTTAGAAAAGTAAAATGCAGCTTGTGGGGAAATCTCTATTGCTATTCAAAATGACCAGGGATTCTTAGATCTTTATGTCAAGCGAGTTGGCCATTTTAATATTAATTATTCCTTATACTAATATAATTTAAATTGAAAATTTATTGGTAGAAGTTTTACATTGAGGCTGTATTTATACCTATATTTATGTTTATTATTTAAGCTTAAGACCAAATAGTTGTAAAAGATTCTGTGTCCCAGAATTCAAAATATTTCATAGCTTTTTAGCAGTTGGAGCAGCTCATCTAAGCTTTTCCTCATTCCATCAGATGGGGGCAGCAGAGCAAACCGAGAGTAAACCTAGAGTAAACGCTGGGCTCAAGAAGTCTGTGAAGAACAGAATAATAGCCAGTCTGCGGGTGTCTTTGAAGGGCCTGCGGCCACGTTCCCCTAACCACTTCGAGGGGACCCGGGTAGCTTGGTGGAGGCGAGGCCTGGTGAGGAACGCGGTCCCCGTCCAGCCACCCGACCTCGGCTCGCTTCCCATTCAGCCTGCGCGCCAGCCAGTGGGGTCGCCGCAGGCGGAGGCGCGCGATTGAGAACACCCTTCGGATGAAAGTCATGGTGACGAAGCCAGAGCCTTCAGATCGCTAACGTGTGTCGGTTCGGGTTTGAGTGCATAACGATGCCGTGCACCCCGAGGAGCTGGAGCGTGGACGCCACACGGCTGGTCTGCTTCCCTTCCTTCCTCACAAAGGGGAATTTAAGCCGCGCTCCTGCTCCTGCACGCTCCTCCTCTGTCCGCGCTGCCTCCACTGCGGGCCTCTGGATTCCCCAGCGGAATCCGGGAACCTAGGAGCCGCGGGGCGGTTACTGCTGAGTCAGGGCCTGCAGCTGGGCCTCGGTGGAGACGCCGGCCTGCTTTTCCCGTCCCTGCTTCCTGGCCGGCAGCAGCTTCCGGGCCGAGGCCGCAGCCGGGAGGGTCCCCACGTGCCCTGGCCAAGCCTCGGGGTGCCCGGGTCCCTGGCCCGCGCCTGTGCCGAGCCGCTGGGCTCTGAGGTCCCCGGGGCCTGCGGACCGGGAGGAGTGCAGCCTGCGAGGGATCGAGGCCTCCCGGGGAGGTCAGCCCGGCCCTGCCCGGCACGCAGAGAAAAGGCAGCCCGCGAGCCCCTAGCAGCTGTGCCACTGGGAGAAAGTGCAGTCTGCCTCGCAGCATTGTGTTGCGCAGCCACGTGTAACGAGAATCACGGTAAGGGGACAGGAAACGGGGCGTGAGCATGTGCAACCCTGGCCTACTCCCCCGTCTGCGCCCCCTTCCACGGTTCACAGCGCGGGTGCTTTTTCTTTTCCTTTCCACGGCAGACTTGGTGACAACAGCGAAAATGATGCTGGGCGTGGTGCCTGTCATCCCAGCCCTCCGGAGGCTGAGGTTGAGGATCACCACAAGTTCGGGGCCAGCCCGGGCTACCTAGCGAGACCCTGCCTCAAGGAAAAAACAATCAAAAGGCTGTAGCTTCAAAAAACAAAACAAAACAAAATCTTAAAAGGGGCCGGGGATTTAGCTCAGTGGTTCCGCCGCCTGCCTCGCAAGCACAAGGTCCCGAGTTCGATCCCCAGTACCAAAAAACAACCCCCCCCCCAAAAAAAGGCTGTAGCTAAAAGGCAAGAAATATCCAAAGGCTTAAACCTTAGCTAGAAATGTACCTGTTTATTTACTAAAACTTGGCAAGAAGCACCTGGCCCTGCAAAAGCAGTCAGTTGATTTCTCAAGTGAGAGGGCAGCAGTCCCGTCAGCTGCCAGGTCTGTCAGGCTGTAAGACTCGCTGTGCTGCTCCAGGGCCAGAGCCTGGGCTGTGCGGAGTGAGCGCGGCCCACGCAGACCTGCGCCCTGCTCCCGACCTGCGCCCCGCAGCTGTCGGGGCCGCGTCCCCCTGCCCGAGCCGGATCCGGTCAGCGGCCGGCGGATCCCCAGAGCAAAGCCCACAGCTGCGGGCCGCAGCCCTGGCCGCGGGGCGGGGACTCAGCGCCGGGAGGCCTCCGGCCCCGCCCAGAGCCGAGAGCCGTGCTGCGCTTTCTCACCCCAAGCCCGGGCTGGAAGCCTGGTCCTCAGCTCCCGGGAACGCGCACGTCCAGCTCCGCTCTACAGCCGCAGCTCTGACCAGATCCCCATTAGGCGGGGAGGCTGCAGTTAGCCTTGAAAATGCAGTGTTTTTAGAAAAGCAAGGCAGTGTTTTTATTTTGTAATTGTATTAAAATCTGAAAAGAAAGCATCTGTATGCGTGTTTTTCTAATTAATAAAATTTTACTATGTAGCAGTATTCATTTCACATAGGTTTGATCGACTCGTTGGTCGGCTGGTTGACTGCGATGCTGGGGATTGAACCCGGGCCTCCTGAAGGTGAGGTAGGCACTGCGCCACCGAGCTACCCCTCAGGCCTTTTTGATTTTTGTTTTGAGACAGGGCCTCACTAAGCTGCCCAGGCTTGCCCAGAACTTGCGATCCTCCTGCTTCAGCCTCCCAAGTTTCTGGCTTAACAAACACGCACCACCACACCTGACTCAACGATTTTGAAGAATAATATCCTAAGTAAAACATCTTTTGGCCTAAGGTAGTGCCTTTGAAACTTTATTTCCATTGTTGCCCCATAAGGAAAAAAGTAATTGACAGATAAATGACCAAATAATCAACAGGTAGCATCTCCTTTCAGAAAAACAAATTTGCCTGGCTCCACGGAGTAAATATTACACGTTCAGCCCATTCTTCAGTCCCTGAAACTTCGAGGAAGCTGTTGTTTCATAAGGGTGAAGAAAACCCCAGAGCCTTCCGGAGCCTGGTGACACCAGGGAGAAGGACACTGTGGGTCTGTTGCTCCCGCACGCGCCTCAGTACACCCCAAAATCGTGGCTGCAATCTCGCCTGTCTGGTTCTGTCAGTGGCCTTAGGAATCATGTATTCTGAAAATGTATTCTTCTGGACAGAAAAAAACCAAAATATTACAGTCTTTGTGGCCCATCAAAGCCTAAACCTACTTGTGATTGCTTTGAGTCAAGATCCACACAAGGGGGCCGGTTGTGATGGCGCACCTGTAATCCCCACATTCACTTGGGAGGCTGAGGCAGGAGGATTGCCACAAGTTCAAGGCCAGCCTGGGCTACACAGTGAGTTCAAGGTCAGCCTGGACTACACAGTGAGACCCCGTCTCCAAAAAAAAGATCCACACAAGGTTTACACGCAGCATTTACTTGAAATGGTTCCTAAATGTCTTAGTTTAGCTTCTCATTCTTTTTACACTTCTGGCCATTTATTTGAAGAACTTGTGCCCCCGGTCCCGTAAGCTCTGTCCCACACTGGCCGACTGCCGTGTGTCTTCTGAGCGTGGCGGCTCCACCGAGACGCTGTCTCCCACGGACACTCACTGTCCCCGTGGGGCGGCTCCCTGTCCGGTCCCCGGGGGACTCAGAGGTGACCCTGACGCGTGTCCAGCCTGGCCAAGCGATCTGCTTATGAAGACGCCAGTCTGTCACCTGCCCTGACGCCCTGCAGGTGGGACGAGGACCGTTCTCAGGCTCCCTGCGGCCGACTTCTCCTCCGGAGAGTGAGCCCCAGAGCCGGGAAGGCGACTGGTGCGCCACAGATGGACACGCGGGCCCAGACTCGGCCCGGGCTCCCTCCCCAGCAGCCGCCCTGACAGCCTGGACTCCGCCTGGCTCCGCTCACATCTTCCAGGCGCCCCGGGTCAGCTTGAGGGGCCGGGGATTTAGCTCAGTGGTTCTGCCGCCTGCCTCGCAAGCGGAAGGACAGGAGTTCGATCCCTGGTACCAAAAAAAAAAAAAAAAAAACAAAGTTAAGAGAAGCTTGAGCGCGGCTCCTCTAAGAAATAGGAGTGTCTCCTCTGCGTCTCTCCAGTGACCAGTGAGGTGGAACAGTTTTTCATGTATTTATTTGCTATTTCTACTTCTTTGTCTGAGAAATGTCTGTTCATTTCAGACGCCCGTTTTCGGATTGGGTCTTTAAATTGGGGAGGTCTGATCTTTTTAAGTTCTTTATAGATTCGAGATAGTAGACCTTTGTCTGAGGAAGAGCAGGTGAAGATTTTTTCCCACATTGTGGGTTGTCTCTTCACACTGCTGGTGGTTTCTCTTGCTGTGCAGAAGCTTTTTAATAAGAGATCCTCTTGTTGATTGATTGTGCTAGTTCATGGGCAACTGAGGTTTTGTTCATAAAATCTTTTTCTACACCAATGTCTCCAAGAGTTCTTCCTACACTCTCTTCCAGCTGGTTTAGTGTTTCTATTTTAATATTTAGGTCTTTAATCCATTTTGATTTTAGTTTAGTGCATGGTGAGAGATATAGGTCTAGTTTTAAGACCTTTGGCAAGTTGAAACCACCTCACCCCAGAAAGAATGGCTGCTATCAAGAAATCAAACAATTACAAATGCTGGTGGGGCTGTGGGGAAAGAGGAACCCTGCTCCACTGCTGGTGGGAGTGTAGACTGGTGCAACCACTGTGGAAATCAGTATGGAGATACCTCAGAGAACTAGGACTGGAAGTCCCATTTGACCCTGCTATTCCACTGCTGGGGATCTTCCCCAAAGAATTAAAAGAATCATACCACAGAGATATATGTGCACCCATATTCATAGCGGCACAGTTTGTAATAGCTAAAACTTGGAAACAGCCCAATTGCCCATCAACTGGAGACTGGATAAGGAAAATGCGGTTTTTAAAAAATAAAATGAAGTACTATTCAGCCATAAAAAATGAGAAATTAGAGATATTTATAACTAAATGGTGCACACTGAGGCGATACGCTTAAGTGAAATAAACAGGACACACGTGTAAACATCGAATAGTTTCTCTAGTGTGAGAAATTGAAAGTGTAAATAAGGACTAAAAGGTATAATAGATAATGTGAAATAGGAAGAAAAGGGGCAAAGGGGAAGTGGGAGGGGTAGGGGAAAGGAAAGAAGGGAATGGAATTAATATGAGAAAAAGAAAAAATGGAAACAAAGTCTTTGTAAATAGACAGGAATGGAGGTGTTGAAGGGAGGGGAGGGGAATGGGGAAAAAATAAGAACCAAGAGAGATTATGTAAAGGTGCAAATTTCCAATGATGAATGTCATCATATTGAATGCCTAAAATGTACCAATAAAATTAAATTTAAAAAAAAGAAAAAGGATTGTCAACCACTCTTTAACAGTTGCTTCTCTAGAAATAAAAATCCAGTTAACAAAATATTGAGTTCATCTTTCTCCCTTTCCAGATTCTTTAGCCCAATACAATTTATAATTTTTTTAATTTTTATTTTTATTAGCGCATGTTTGCAGTACATAATGATTGTCTTTACCACGGAGAATTAGGTTTTTTTTGTTGTTGTTGTTGTTGTTGTTGTTGTTGTTTTGGTACCAGGGATCGAACTCATGTCCTTCGGCTTGCAAGGCAGACAGTGGAACCACTGAGCTAAATCCCCGGCACCACGGAGAATTAGTACCTGAACACAATGCATCTTAATTCCTTTTCTGCCCTCCCCTTCCCCTCCCCTTCCCCTCCCTCCATTTCTTGTCATGAAACATGCTTGCAAGATAAGCCTTTTTTTTTTTTTTTTTGGTACCAGAGATTGAACTCAGGACCTTGCGCTTGCAAGACAGGCGGCAGAATCACTGAGCTTAATCCCCGGCCCCAAAGATAAGCCTTTTAAAACAAACATAACAGCCCTTTCATTTTCCCATTGTCTAAACCTTTGAAAATGAAAAGTTTTCTTTTTTAAATGTTTTCCTTAGTCCATGTTTGCAATGTATAATGTTTCCATTCCTTGTGTGGAGCTGGTGCATGCACACAGCATGTCTCAATTCCTTTTTCACCCCCTTTCCCTCCTTCCACCTCTTGAGCCCCTTTACTATTTGAGAAAGATCGCTCTACTTCCTATTATCTATTTTCTATTTTGCACTTTATTTATATTTTGAGTTTCTCATATAAGAGAAAATGTGATATTTAAATGTGTGTGTCTGATTTATTGTGTTCTCAAGGTGCATCTATTGTAGATAGGTAAGTTAATTAGATTATCTTGTAGGCAGTTAGACAGGGCCCCCCTCAAGGAGCCAAAATGGAAAACAATTAAGGCATTCACTGGCTAGCATCATAAAAAAAAAAAAAAAAAGAAGTACTACTTCCCCTAGAGGTAGATCGCAGTGATTGATATTCTAAATGGGAAATTCCTTCTCTGTGACTTGTCTTCCAATTTGACTCCCATTTAATCAACATTACCTAAGGGGCCAAGGATTTAGCTCAGTGGTTTTGCTGCCTGCTGTGCAAGTGCAAGGACCTGAGTTCGATCTCCGGTTCCAAAAAAAACACAAAATATATTACCTGGGTGACTGTACTTGTAATCTTACTGGTTGGTCGTGGTTTTGCCCCACCCCATGCCCACCTTGTAATTTCCCACTGGGTCTCACAGTTTTGTCCCTTGAACACCTTGAACCCTCCTCACCTCCTGGCTTTGCCCCATAAAAACTCCCTGGGAGGTCGGGGATTTAGCTCAGTGGTGCCGCTGCCTGCCTGGGAAGCAGAAGGACACGAGTTCGATCCCTGGTACCAAAAAAAAAAAAAACTCCCTGGGAAATAGGGTCCCAGGCAACCCACTTTCCTGTCCCTCTTCTGTCTCTCTTAGAAGCTTTTCACTCAATAAAATTTTTCTACTCTTTTTTTTTTTGGTACCGGGGATCGAACTCGGATCCTTGCGCTTGCACACCAGGAGAAAATTTTCCTACTCTTAACCTCCGTTGTTCCTAGAATTCATTCTTTGATTTTTTTTTTCATTAAGTTTATTGGTACATTTTAGGCATACAATACAGTTACATTCATCATTGGGATCTTGTACCATTACATGAGTCTCTTGGTTCTTATTTTTTCCCCATTCCCTGCCCTCCCTTCACCCC